ATTTGTCAAGTGGTTCAAGAAGAGAAAGTTACTTCACAAAGCCAACTATCAAGAGCCAAAATATACACTAAAAAAAATAGCACTGCAAAGGAGTTCAGGAAAACAATACCATTCACGATAGCCACCTAAAAGATTAAATACTTGGGAATAAATCTAACCACAGAAACAAAAGACCTACACAAAGAGAACTACAAAATACTACTATAAGAATTTAAAAAAAAGATTTGAAGAAATGGAGGAATATACCCCATTTATGGACAGGAAGACTTAACATTGTGAAGATGTTAACACTACCCAAAGCAATCTATCGATATAATGCAATCCCAATAGGTTCCAACATCATTCATTAAAAAGATGGAAAAACTAATCACTAACTTTATATGGAAAGGAAAGTGACTCAGATAAGCAAAGCATTATTAAAAAGGAAGAACAAAGTAGGAGGCCTCTCACATCCCAATCTCAAAATCTACCATACAGCCTAATACTGGTACAGCAAAAGACACATAGATCAATGGAACAGTATTGAGAACCCAAAGCAAACCCATCTACCTATACTCAGTTCAGAGGACCAAAATGCATTAAATGGGTTAGAGACAGTCTCTTCAATAAATGGTGCTGGTAAAACTGGAAATCCACTTGCAGAAAAATGAAACAAGATCCTTATCTCACACCATATACAAAAACGAACTCATTGGGGATTAAAGACCAAAATGCAAAGCTAAAACAATAAAGATCATCAATGAAGAAACAGGGACAAACTTAAGGACTCTGATACACGGCATGACTACACTATCAATCATAACTGAAAACACACAAACAGAAGACAAAATAGATGACTGGAACCTCCTAATAACTTGTCCTTTATGTGCATCCAAGGATTTCACCAAAAGTAAAAAGAGAACCCACAGACTGGGAAAAAATTGGAGGCAATGACATTTCAAACTCTCCAAAATTTATAGAATACGTCAACATCTCAACAAGGAGACAATCCAATTTAAAAATGGGGAGAGGACATGAGCAGACACATCACCAAAGAAGACATTCAGGCAGCCAACAAACATATGAAGAAATTCTCATAATCATTAACTACTTGTTGTTGTTGTTAGGTGCCATGGAATCAGTACCGAACCATAGCAACCTTATGCACAGCAGAACGAAACACTGCCAGATCCTGGGCCAACCTCACAATTGTTGCCATGCTTGAGCCCACTGATGCTGCCAATCCATCTCGCTGGGGGTCTTCCTCTTTTTCTCTGACCCTCCACCCTACCAAACATGATATCCTTCTCCAGTGACTGGTCCTCCCTGACAATATGTCTGAAGTATAAGAAATGAAATTTGGCCGTCTTGTCATCCAAGGAGCACTCTGGCTACACTTTTTCCAACACAGACCTATTGGTTCTTTTGGAAGCCTATGGTGCTCGGAGCCGTTGAGGGTAGAGAACAGCTTCGATTTGCTGCTTGACACAGTTCCAGCAAATAAGAAGAGTCATCTTGCAAGACAGAGGACTCTCAGAAGTTGCTTTCTACCTTCTCTTTAGAGTAATCCTAAATTTACTTATAAAAATATATAATATGGCAATATTCACAGCCTTTCACTGTGAATTCTACAAACCTTAGGGAAAACTAGCTTATCAACAATTGCTTTCGGCTTTGGTGGATTGAGTACAAAGAGAATTGTGTAAATTACTCCTTTTCATAGAAAACCTAAGTAACTGTATTTGTGAGACCACAAACGCAGATAGCATATTAGAGCCAAGCTGACCCACCCCCATAGACCGCACCACAATCAGTCACTAGCTAGAATTCTCAAACCCCACATACAGACACCTGCGTAAACAAGCAGACAATAATGAACTTAAGTGAAGGGTAGTTTTGACTTAATAATCTACACTTCTTGCAGCAAGTAGCCAGGTTGGGCTTTATGCCACATAGCTTCTAAGCGATTTAATGAATACCTTTATTATGAAAATAATAGCACATTATGTAGGATAGAAAGTTTATAATCCTTTAGTAGAAACAAGAAGAAACAGTTTATCACATACTGGGAAAGGAGATGAAGGTCAGTCTGAACATCACAGAAGTATTTTTGTCAAGGTTGTCTAATGACCAGGTGCAAGAATGTTGTGACTAACTGTGTAATAATTCAAGAAAAGATAAAAGTGTCAATTCATGTACTGTGTAATTTTAAGTATAAAAAATAAAGACTTGCTGAGCTGGGCTGGCAGAGGCAGAAAGTAGGAGGAAGAGAAAGAGGGCAGAAGCAGCAGAGGAAAGGAGGGAGGAAGAAGGAGGCAGAGGGCAGACAGCAGAAGGCAGAAGGCAGAAGGAGGCAGAGGCAGAAGGCAGAAGCTGGAGAGAACAGCCGGACAGTACAGAAAGCTGAAAAGCCTTTCGATTGTATTCATTCATTTCTTCTTCACCGCTGATTCCGCGTATCCTCTTGTGTCCCACTACCCCTGCAGAGAGCCGGTCTCCCCGCACCATGGCACTTTCAATATTCTCCTCCAACACCATGACTCAAAACCATCAGTTCTTCTACGGTCGTCCTTATTCACTGTCCAGCTTTCACATGCATATGAGGTTATTGAAAATACCATGGCTTGGGTCAGGTGCACCTTAGTTTTCAAGCTGACATCTTTGCTCTTCAACACTTTAAAAAGGTCTTGCAAATCAAAACAGCAATGAAATATCATCTTTGTTGTTGTTGTTAAGTGCCACTGAGTTGATTCCAATCCATAGCGACCCTGTATAGGGTTTCCGAGGAGCAGCTGGTGAGCTTGAACCACCGACCTTGATGTTCAAATGACTTTGCAGTCTGATGTACTAGCACACAGTGCTACACCAGGACTCTGAACTAACATCTTACCCCACCATTAATAGCAAAGTTTAAAGTAAAAAAAAAAAACAGAAAACAACAAATGCTGTGGAAGACTGGGACCCTCCTACACTGCTAGTGAGACTATAAAATGGTGCAACCATTATATAATGCTTTCTCAAAAAGTTGTAAATAGAAATACTGTATGACCGAGCAGCAATTCCTCTACTTGGTATATATCTGCAAGAAATAAGAGCTGTGACATGAATATGCACACCCATATTCATTGCAGCACTGTTCTCAATAGCAAAATGATGGAGACAGCTTAAATGCCCATCAATAGAAGAATGGATCAACTAACTTTGGTAAATAGACACAGCGGAATACTATGCAACATTGAAGAATCACAATGGAATCTGTAAAACACCTCATAACATGGATGAACTTGGAGGATGCTACGCAGAGTGAAATTTAGTCAATCACAAAAGGTCAAATATTGTATGAGACCAATGTTATAAAAAGTCATGACAGGTTTTCTTGATAAAAGAAACATTCTATGATGGTTACAGAGGGTGGGGAAAGGAAAGTATTCGATGGCTAGAAGGTAGACGCATGTTAGCATGGGTGACAGGGTAGGCAATATACAACAAGAGAGAGGTTGGTTGAGGAAGGATGAAAAGAAGCAGGAAACAGAGGGAGGAGTGCAACAGTTAAAAGAAATAGAAATATTGTTAACTGACGGTCCATCCAGGTGATTGAAATCATTGTAATGAAGCAAAGGATATGATTTGTTGAATAAAAAGTATATTATCTGTTCTTCACTCAAAGCACAATAAAAAGTTAAAAAAAAAAAAAAGAGCAAAAATATAAAATGCCCATTTTATAATTACCTCTACACAAAGTAGATCAGAACCAGAGAGTTGACTAAGTCAATAAGTTAAGCAAAACTTTGTTGATATATTTCCCTTAGACCCCAAGGTCTTCTCTAATTCTTTTTGATTTGAGTTTCACCCTCAAAAACAGGGCAATGAGTATGGGTCACTATGGTGGTTCTCTAAAAGTTATTCTGAGAAGCTCCCAAGTTAGCAAAGAAAGCAGAGGTTTCTTAGGTAGCATAAACGTTTTACACATTCAAGCAGAGTTTCTATTACTACCTATACTTTTCTTTCAACGAATTAGGTAATCTTGGTCAAAGTTACTACTACCACAAAATGAGATCACTGTATTTACGTAGACCCAGAGCCACCACCTGTCTGTCAATTTGTCACATTGTGGTGGCATGTATGTTGCTATCGTGCCGGAAGCTATGCTACCAGTATTTCAAACACCTGTAGGGTCGTCCTTACTGGACACTTTTCAGTGGAACTTCCAGACTCAATAAACTAGTGATCTACTTGTGAACATTAGTCATAGAAAAACCCTATGGATGATAGCAGAATATTATCTGATATAGGACAGTTATGTGCCATCAAGTCGGTTCCGACTCATAGCGACTCTTTATAGGGTTTCTGAGGCTGTTAATCTTTACAATGGAGTCCTAGTATGTCACCATAGGCTAAGCATTCGACCTCAAGGTCGGTTTGAACCACAGGTGAGCTGTTCAAACTCACCAGTCACTTCTCAGAAACCCAATACTGGTTCACTATAAGTCGGAACCAACTCAACGACACATAGCCAACAATATCAGAAGTATTCTGCCAACATCTATAGGATTTTTAATGACTGATTTTCACAAGTAGATCACCAGCCCTTTCTTCCTAGTTTATTTAGTCTGGAAGCTCCACTGAAAATCTTCACAGGAATAGAAAGCTTCATCTTTCTCCCATGGAGCAACTGATAGATTAGAACTGCTGATCTTGCTGTTTTGCAGCCCAACATGTTTTGCAGCCCAACACCACCCAGGCTCCACTGTCGGATACAGTGCTGGGACTGTAGGTTGAAAGGTAATATACATAATAGCCTCAACATTTGACCCACATTATGAGAATGACACAGGATCCAGCCAGAGCCGACACTATGACATCTAACATTAACAGAGCATCAGCTGATATTCTATTAGCAACTGGCTCCAAGTCTTCCATCTTGAGCCAAGAATTTTATTTACAATGTTTGAGTGTTTTCATTTTGAATTGTCACTATTTACTCTCTCTCTCTCCCTCCTGCCCCACCATTAAAAACTTACTTAATCCAACATCACCTTCTTCTTGGTCATTTGGACCTTGATGATGGCAAAGGCGGCGGATGAGGAGGCCCAGGTGACTCAGCAGAATGAAAGGAGGAGGCAGCCAAGGCTTCTCGTGGAAGGTCATAATGTAGCGATAGCGATTGTATTTCCACAGTTTATCTGACATGGACTTCATATCCATGTAAACATTGCTGCAAGTTGTAGGAAGAGAGGGTCAATGTTATAGTACAACATCCTGAAACATAGCCATTAGATTCTTTAGTTTCCAACTTCTAGCACCGAGTCACTTGATATTACCAAGCAGTTAGCCAATGAAAATAATACCCACTGGGTTTACAATTCTAATTCCACCTAACAAAACCCACGAATCACTTTCTACAAGAAATATACTCATCAGAATAATGACAAAAGGCATTATTAGAAAGAAAATAAGCTAGCATTTTTTAAGCCATGAATGGAAATACCCCCCTGGAACTCAGCACTATGCTTGACTCAGCATCTCTTGATCATAAGAGAAGATCATTGTCAGTCCATAATTCATCCTTCATGGTAAACAGCTTTATTATCCATCTATATCACCAACTTTATGAAGCTGTATTGTCAAATATTGTTGTTGTTAAGCACCGTTGAGTCGGTTGTGATTCATAGCGACCTTGTATAGGGTTTCCAAGGAGTGGGTGGTGAGTTTGAACCCCAACCTTGTGGTTCAAACCCACCTTGAATTACTACCTTAAAAACCCAAATGAAGCAGTATTCATGAAGAGACAACAATGAAGAATCAATTCATCCTAATCAATGAACAGAGCTTCTATTTAGATGTTAAATTCACTTTTAGACTCACTTTACATTACAAGTCACCCACATTAACAGGCCACTTTGGGTTTTCTCTTTAATTATTATCTTGATGATAATATGAAGATGGTAGAATAAATATTAATATTACAGAACTTGACCTGGGACTTGTGGTATGTAGTGGTTACTCTAAAACAACATATCATCCATAACTACTTGGTTTTGCTGTTAGGTACCATAGAGTCGTTTCCTACTCATAGCAACCCTGTGTACAAAAGAATGAAACTGCCCAATGCTACGCCATCTTCACAATGGCTCCTACATTTGAACCCATTTTGCAGTCTCTGCTTCAATTCATCTTGTTGAAGGTCTTCCTTTTTTTTCACCGACCCTCTGCTTTATCACACATGATGTCCGTTTCCAGGGACTGGTCCCTCCTGATGACATGTCCAAAGTACATGAGATGAAGTCTCATCATCTTTGCTTCTAAGAAGCAGCATGACTGTACTTCAGCCAACACATATTTGTTTGTTCTTCTGGCAGTCCATCATATATTTAATGTTCATATTCCTCACCATCACCATAATTCAAAGGCATCAATTCTTCTACAGTCTTCTTTATTCATTGCCCATGCATAATGAGACATTTGCAAACGTGATGACTTAGTTCAGGTACACCTTCCTCTTCAAAGTAACATCTTTGCTTTTTAACAATTTAATTGGATCTTTTGCAACAGTTTTGTCCAATACAATACCTCCTTTGATTACCTGACTGCTACTTCCCTGGGTGTTAATTATGGATCCAAGTAAAATGAAATTCTTGACAACACTAATCTTTTCCTGCTTATCATGATGTGTATTGGTTCCATTATAAGGATTTTTGTTTTCTTTACCTTGTTGTTGTTGTTGTTGTTTGGTGTCATTGAGTTGGCACTGAGTGATAGCAATCCTACGCACAACAGAACAAAACACTGCCCAATCTTGGGCCAATCTCACAATTGTTGCCATGCTTGAGCCCACTGATGCTGCCACTTTGCCAATCCATCTTGCTGGGGGGTCTTCCTCTTTTTCTCTGACCCTCCACCTTACCAAACACGATATCCTTCTCCAATGACTGGTCCCTCCTGATAACATTTCCAAAGTATGAGAGACGAAGTTTGGCCATCCTGGCCTCCAAGGAGCACTCTGGCTGCACTTCTTCCAACACAGATCTGTTGGTTCTTTTGGCAGCCCACGACACTTTCAACATTCTCCTCCAACACCATAACTCAAAAGCATCAATTCTTCTATGGTCTTCCTTATTCACTGTCCAGCTTTTGCATGCATATGAGGTTATTGAAAATACCATGGCTTAGTCAGGCGCACCTTAGTCCTCAAGCTGACATCTTTTACATTAGACATTTTTACGTTACATTTCTTTATGTTAGAAGGCTGTAATCTTTGATCTTCATCAGTAAATACTTCAAGTCCTCTTCACTTTGGGGGAGCAAGGTTGTGTCATCTGCATATTGCAAGTTATTGATGAGTTTTCCTCCAATTCTAATGCTGCATCCTTCATATAGTTCAGTTCTTGATTTATTTGCTCAGCATAGAGATTAAATAAGTATCGTGAAAGGACACAACCAAGGCACACACCTCTCCTGATTTCAAACTATGCAGTATTTTCTTGTTCTGTTCGAACAACTGCCTCATGGTCTATGTACAGGTTCCTCATGAGCACAGTGAAATGTTCTGGAATACCCATTCTTTGCAATGGCATCTATAGTTTGTTATGATCTTTTGCAGAGTCAATGAAAAACAGGTCAATACATTTGAACCCATCCTGGTCTTCGCTGCTTCCAATCAAGATCCATCTGATATCATCAGTGATATCCATTATTCCATGTTTTCTTCCAAATCCAGTTTGAACTTCTGGTAGTTCCCTGTCAGTGCACCACTACAACAGAGTTTTGATTATCTTCAGCAAAATTTTACTTGCATGTGAGAATAATGATATTCTTCGAAAATTTTTGCATTCTGTTGAATTCTTTCTTTGGAATGGGCACTGATTTAGAACTCTTCCAGTAGGTTGTCAAGAAGCTGTCTTCCAAATTTCTTAGCACAGAAGAATGAGCACCTCTAGCATTACATCCATGTGTTGAAACATCTTAAATAGTATCCCATCAATTCCTGGAGCTTTGTGTGTTGCCAATGCCCTCCATGCACCTTGGGCTTCTTCCTTCAATACCATCAGCTTTTGATCGTATGCCTCCTACCACATGGTATAATATCAACCATTTCTTTTTGGTACAATGACTCTGTGTATTCCTTCCATCTTCTTTAGATACTTTCTGCAAGGGTCAACAATTCGCTTGTAGAATCTTTCAATATTATAACTACACGCTTTTTCAATTTTTCTTCAGTTCTTTCGGCTCTCTAGATGTTGTGTTATTATTGTTAGGTGTTAAGACACTTGTGATTTTATAGTGATGGAAAACGCAACTCTGAATTGGGTGGAGGCTGTGCAGACTGGCCAAAGCAAATGATGTCATTAAGATGTATGGAACAACAAAAAAAACTTTCTGATAATTGCTATAGCATATATAATTTTGCAACAATAACAACAGCAACCAAAATATATTTGTATGGGTTTATGTGTATGCATGCAAGCAGATATGTCTATAGTTGTGCAAATGTGAGTGTATATATAACTGTGTTGTGTGCATATGCATATCTGTGTGTATGCATATTTATTCACATATACAATACAGCACATAGGGGGCACTGTTCAGATACTTCTTGGTGGTAGTGGCTGTGTGCTGTCAAGCCGGTTCTAACTCACAGAATTCCTATGCAGAGTTTCCAAAGCTGTAAATCTTTACAAGAACAGAAAGTCTCATTTTTCTTCCACAGAGTGACTGGTAAATTTGAACTGCTGACCTTGCAGTTAGCAGCACAATGTGTAGCTCACTGTGATACCAGAGGTCCTTAGATATTTCTTAGACATAACCAAATACCTCACAAGGTTGGTTTTCTGGGTGTGGAGGGTTAGAACCATAGTTCTGTGGGACAACTCAGTCAATTGGTATAATATAGATGGTAACATTTACGCACTATATCCTACTCTATTAGTAATGTCTGGTGTCTGAAAAGCTTGTGAGCAGCCCTCTAAGATTCAACTATTGGTCTCTACTCGTATGGAATAAAAGATATAGAAGGAAAGCCAAGACTTAGAGGAGGACTACAGGACTGTCTATACAAACCAAGGCTTCATCTACCCTAAGACCAGAAGGACTAGATGGTGCCCAGCTGCGAATACTGATGATCCTTTCAGCGCCAAAGTAGATGAATCTGATCGAATGGGAGAAAAAAGTGGAAGCTAACCTCAAATTCTTTTTTTGAAAAAATTCAGAATGACTGGACTGGCTGAGACCAGAGGACTCACTAAAACTACTGCCCTGAGATATTCCTTAAACACTGAACTGAAAATATATCGAAGTCACGTTGTAACTAAACAACAGATAGGCTCACCAAATACAGAATATAATCCATTAGCTCTGATTCTCTTAAAAAGTCACCTATATGAGATCAAATAATCAACTATATTTTTTTAAAAAAGAAAAGATGAGAAAGTAAGTGGGAAGGGAAACTAGATTACTAGAAACAGAACAATGAGAATATTCAAACGTGCATGTATCATAAACAATGTAATCAATGTCACTGTACAGTTCATGTAAAAATTCTTGAACAGGAACTTAATGTGCTGTGCAAACCAAAAACACAGTAAAATTTGATTTGAGTATATATTTTTTAATCATCTTAAGAGAACTTGTTAGAAATACAAATTATTGGGACTCATCTCAGACATACTGAAACTTAATTATAGCAATGGAACCAAGTGGTTCCCAGACTTCATTGTTCATGAGAAGCCATGGAGGTGGTTCTCATGAACAATAAAGTCTGGGAACCACTTGGTTACATAGGTGTACTATTAAGGAACCCTAGTGGTTCTATGGCTTAGACATCGATCTGTTAACCATAAGGTCCAGAGTTCTACGGGAGAAATATCACTGTCTGCTCTGTAGAGATTTACAGACTCAGAAACCCCACAGCGAGTCACTATGAGTTGAAATCTACTCTGTGGCAATGTGATTTGTTTAGTTTGGTTTGGCGTTGTACCTCTAAGTGCAGCTACAGTTTATTGACCAGCAGGTGGCAGTCTTCACAATGTATTCCTGGTACTTCTTAATAACTGGCATAAAGAAGTACTTGATGCATTTGAGTTATGGTGTTGAAGAATATTAAAAGTAGCATGGATAGCCAGAAGAACAAACAAATTGTCTTGCAAGAAGTATACAGCCAGAATGCTCCTTAGAAGCCAGGAGGGCCAGACTTCATCTCTCATACTATGGACATATTAT